TCTCACACCCACAGTCGCGGAACTCCCAGCAAACGCACCGTCTTGCTCCACAACATCGACCCGCTACAAACCAAACACGGCGTCCCTCTGTACAACGACACTTTCCACACCACGGTGAGGGCGGCTGTACGGGTGGGCCACATGAAGCTCATCACCGGAGAACCTTACAACGGGAGCTGGGTACCGCCCCCTGGATCAGCCCACAAGTTTGAACCTGGTGAGAGACGAATATAATCCATCTCCCCCGAACTAATTTCCCGACCCCCACCCCTCCCCCCTTTGTTTAAAAGAGTTCAAGACCTAGCACAAACTACCATCCAATACCCAGGGCTGTAAAGATAACCAGGATCTGACAACCAGTGTGCCTTCCAGAAGCGACTGTATTGGGTAATGTCCTGTATACAAAGTCAAGAAGAATATTTCCATGGATTGGGAAAATATTGGGCCCACAATATTAAGCTTGTTTTCGTTTTGGTAAAGTGTTTTACGGCGCTCGCAACTGCATAAGGTCATATGAGCGCGCGGGACACACCTAATATTTTAAGTTGGTAGGAAATTTTGAATTTTGCCCGGGTGGCGGCCGTAGCCTACTCTTATCGATTTTAGACCACCAAGGGATCTTTAACATGCGCAACTTGCACATGGGCCCTCCGAGATTTTTCTCCCTTGTCTGAGAAGGCTAGGTGTAGATCTTTCCTACCAGAAGATCAAGGGTGTGGCAGAAAGATAGCAGTAAAGAGGAGCCAAGGAGTAGCAGTAGAAAGGCTGTAGAAAGAGTCAGGAGCCCAGAGGAAGGGGCAAAGGAGGTGAGGGGGTGGGGGCAGAAAGTGGAAAAGAAAGCAGACAACAGAACATTGCTAGAGAGCAGGAAAGGAGGTGAAAGTAGACATTTTTAGAGAAGACAATTTTTCGGTCGCTACCCGGATTCGAACCCGGAACATTTTGAAAGAGAGGCCAACACCTTAACCTCTAGGCCACGAGAGCCCCCGTTAATATTAAGCGCGTGTGAGATATTTCACAACTACTAATACATTAAACGTGTATAAGATATAACGTTAAATTGAAAAGTCGCTTGTAAGCACAAGGGCGCTATTCCAAAAAATGCTGCTTTGAAAAAAATAGAAGGTAAAGTATTTGGACCCTTGTTCAGTTTCTTTAAAATACAAGGAGAGTTTTCTCTTTAACCAATGAAACCAGGCTTCTCCTATAGGTTGGCCAATGCCCCCTTTTGGTGAAGATAAAGATAATTTCTGGAAATCCCCGAAATCTGGGTTGTCCGCTTGTCCTTAAGACGACCAGCGTGTGTGACATATTTCACATATAACATTAAACGTGTGTGGGATATTTCACATATAACATTAAACGTGTGTGAGATATTTCACATATAACATTAAACGTGTGTGAGATATTTCACATATAACATTAAACGTGTGTGAGAGATTTCACATATAACATTATAACGTTGTGGTTCATAAGATGCATGCTACGTATCCCATTGACAGCTAGAAAAACAAATGAAGAAGTCTTGGTTGAAGCAAATTATAGAAGACAGCTTATGACGAATATAAGAAAGCGACAGGCAAATTTCTTCGGACACACGGAAAGAAGCATTGAAGAATATTGTAACAACAGGCAAGTATGATGGAAAGAGAGGCCGAAGCAGACAGAGAGAAAAGATACTGGACATGATGACAACATGGCTAGGAGCAGCAAGAACAACAGACACCATTGCTGCAACGCAAGACAGAGTGAAGTGGAGGTCCATGATCGCCCACGCTAGTCGGCAAGGCACCGGATGATGATGATGAACCGTAAACGAGCGTGAGATATTTCACAACTTCCATAACTTTATGACCCGCCCAGGTATCTCCCCCCCCCCTCCCAGCCAAGCCAGAGACGTCAAGAAAAGGCTGGGGGGTGTACAGAGTCGACTGTCCCGTCACATGGGACCCAACCTCCCTATTGGTGGGGTAGATAGATAGATAGATTGATGATATATATATATATATATAGATAGATAGATATAAAAGATAGATAGATAGATAGATAGATAGATAGATAGATAGATAGATAGATAGATAGATAGATAGATAGATGGATAGTTGGATAGATGGATAGATAGATAGTTGGATAGATGGATAGATAGATAAATAGATAGATAGATAGATAGATAGATAGATAGATAGATAGATAGATAGATAGATAGATAGATAGATAGATAGATAGATAGATAGATAGATAGATAGATAGATAGATAGATAGATAATTGTTCTTTCCACTCTTAGATTACGTGTAAGTTTGAGAATCTTATCGAGTGGAAAGTCCCTCACCTCTTTGTTGTTGTTGTTTTGTTTTTCTCCTTTTTCCCCACAGACCAACGAAGACCTCATCAGAACGTGTGGTTGTTCAACATCACAGCTGACCCGACCGAGCACCACGACTTGTCTGACCACATGCCGGACATGGTTCGGACCCTCCTGGGATATCTACAGCGGTTTAACAAGACAGCCGTGCCCACACGGTTCCCGCCCTTAGACAAGAGAAGTAACCCCGCTTTGCATGGAGGAGTCTGGGGACCCTGGGAGTAGACAACGTTAAGGTTTTGTCTGTAGGCTTTTTTGGGTGTTTTTTTTTTGCCATTTAAGTCAAGAGGGGTTCCTCGCTGTGTGTCGGCGTTGCTTTTGTTCCGGCACATCCATAGAAGTGTATTATGATACTCAAGATAGAAGTGTATTATGATACTCAAGATAGAAGTGTATTATGATACTCAAGATAGAAGTGTATTATGATACTCAAGATAGAAGTGTATTATGATACTCAAGATAGAAGTGTATTATGATACTCAAGATAGAAGTGTATTATGATACTCAAGATAGAAGTGTATTATGATACTCAAGATAGAAGTGTATTATGATACTCAAGATAGAAGTGTATTATGATACTCAAGATAGAAGTGTATTATGATACTCAAGATAGAAGTGTATCATGATACTCAAGATAGAAGTGTATTATGATACTCAAGATAGAAGTGTATTATGATACTCAAAATAGAAGTGTATTATGATACTCAAGATAGAAGTGTATTATGATACTCAAGACAGGGCACTCTCGACGAGATTCTGTTTCACCAGGGAGTGAGTCTAAACTCACTACTCACTTAGCCGCTGGAGCTCCCATCAATAACTTAGTTCTGCACATTCTAATTTGATCCACCAAAGAGTCACCATAGCAGCGCTGCTGGTACTACTGGTAGTAGTACAGTGGTGTGTACTGTGTTCAGAGGTGTGCAATGATAGCCTGTTCCATTCTTTCGAGGATGTTTTGGTTCATACTTTTAAAACTTGTCTTGTGAGTTAGATAACTGGGTATAAACAACATTGTTCTTTGTGAAGCGTGCTGACAAAATGAGTTACTTCTCGGTTTCAAACCTTTTGGAAATAGATACATCACGCTTATAAATAGGTGAAGCTTTAACAATTTTTATAAGCATGAAACAATAAAAGGCATAATATACATGAATAATAAATAGCATTTGTATAGCGCATATCCCCGCTCAACAGCAGGCTCTGTGTCCTATACACAATATTATTACCCCAGCAGACCATAGAACACTCCGAAACATTCTCAGCTTCCCGGGAAGCATACAGTGCAAGCAGCTGATTAAGCGCTCAAACACTAATAAACTGACAAGATCTTTCGCTGTCTATAGCCGGGTACCCATTCCCACCTGGGTGAAGTGAGGAAAATTTGTGTAAAGTGCTTTTCCCAAGAACACAAAGTCGGGTCCCTGGCGGGATTCGAACCCACGACCTTACGGTTGCGAGTCCAAGAGCCGAACCACTAGACCACCGAAGAAAATTTGGCATCAATAGAAAATCTACTAATCTGACCATAATGTTTTGGCCGATATATCTCCATTTGTGGATAGCGAGAAGTTACTGGTTTTGTCAGCACGCCTCACGTTTGTTACCTGGCTCTGGCATCATGTTTGCTTTATGCGGACTGTCAAAATAAAATACTCCTCTTAATCAATATCTATGTTTCTGTTATGTTTATATTGGTATTTTCGTTCTGCTGTGTTCACATCAGTGTTGCTGAAAACATTTGAAAATTACAATTGTGAAGCATGCTGGCAAAATGAGTTATTTCTCGGATTCAAACATTCAGGAAATAGACCAATCACGCGTATAGCTGAAGTTTTTTCAATTTATAAGTATGAAGTAATAAAAGACAGGTTATAGTTAAAGAAAATGGTATCAATAGAAAATCTACAAATTTGACCTTAACGTCGATTTTTGGCCAATATCTCCATATGTGGATTGTGAGAAGTAACTCATTTTGTCAGCACGCCTCACTATTAAGATTGGTGCTACATAGTCATTGTTGTTTATAGGATGATCATGTCATGTTCATTTATACCATAAAAGCCCAATTAATGGCCTCAAGTTTTAAGGTTTGCTAACTAAAAAAAAAAAAAGCACAAAATGTTCACAAAAAACTAAATAATCATTTGATAAAGTTTAAAAACAGTGTAGGTCGGTGTTTACTCACCGGAGTTTTCCACTCCACTGGCGTGTAGGACAGTCGGGTCAGGTGGTGCTTTTCCTGTGAGCACTTGCCAGGTCCGTACGAAGTCATGGTCATTTCAGCTGCTGTGTTGTGAGTCAATTGAGTGTTCGGAGAGTCACCACATGGCCCCCCACCCCCACCCCACCAGCGCTGACATGACAGGAGGTTCTAGAACCGGAGAGGTGGTCTCACGATACGTCCTGAACTTGAGACCTTCCAGCCTGCTTGTTCTGGTTCCTGTAGAGTAACAGGAGTGGACTGAATAGCTTGGCTAGGCAGGGTTGAATTCTTACACGGGGTGCCCACTACGGATGGGATCGGCTGATCGGGCCGATCGTCCGACTCGATGATCGATAGTCTCAAAAACAAACGTGTTTGAGTTTGTCTTCAGTTTCAGGCGATCGAGTCGGGCGATGGGCCCGATCCAGCTGTAGTGGGCACCCCTTAGCATTTGCGTTTGGATTGGCAAGCGATGAAGACGGAGGTCGCCCACGTCTTGATGCCTGAGCAACGCGTACAACAGAGAGATTGAGTGAAAGTAAGTGTCGTAACTATTTGATTGGGTAGATGTTTTACGGCACTATCGACACAATATGTAGTAGCGATGGAACGTCAAAACTTGCATCAGCTGAACTGTTTGCAAGGGTAGTACTTGTAGTATGTTAATGTGTTATATGAAGTTAGTTCATGTTCTTCATGCTAGTTACATCTGTACGTTATGTGATGTACTCCCTGTTTTTTTATGTTACGTCATACAGATATCATTCATCTTTGTCTGTGTAAATCTATGTGTTCACAGACGACATCATCATCTGCCGTTTGTAATGAACAATAAAAGGGCGACCAAAGAACAAGACAGAGAAGGGCGTCAGTAGCCAAGTCGTGGTCAGGCTACCAGACTAGTGGTTAGGCTACCGGGCTCGTAATCGTGAGATAGCGGGTTAGGGAGTTCGAGCCTCAGCTCGGTCCGATGTTGTGTCCTTAGGAAAGGCACTTTACACGAACTTCCCACTTGGCTCGGTCCTATCGGAGACGGACGTTGAACTAGGAGGTCCCGCCCCTTAAATAACCTAATAGTGTTGATAGGGGTGTTAAACCTATACCATTTCAAGACAGAGAAGTCTTTCTTCAGTAGTGTTCAGTGCGTAGTGAAAGTACTTGACATCTGTTGTTGTTGGGTCTTATTTTTTTCTAAAAGCATGCACAATGAGAACCAATGAAAAAGCGAATTAAAAAAATAATGTCAAAGAATAGCTAGGTTTATATTAGTCTTAGTGGTCAACATGTAGTTTAAAAGGAGAGCGTAACGTGTGACTGGTTTGCTATGAAAATGTATATCTTGCTTGAAAAACAATGAAGGGTATGTAAAAAAAACAACCCAAGAAACCCAAACAAATTAATACTTTTGTACTTGTAGGGGTAGGCTGCAGGAAACATGGAGGAGATGTGTGGAAAGGGACTTGAGAGTAGAGAGATGAAGCTCACTTGGAACGAACTAGGAATTACGGACCAGAACAGAGATAAATGGAAGGAGCTTGTATGTGGCCTATACCCTGCCATGGGTGAATGGTATAGATCTGGGTGATGATGAATACTTGTTGAACGTATTTATATAAAACACAAGAAAGGGAAAATAAAGACAAAACGTTGGGTAACACCGAGGTATAAGAAGTCAGACTCGACCTGGGGTGACATGTTTTGGTTTCGTGCTTCCTACTAAGTTAAAAGTTTGTCGACGCAACTCCAATTCTAATAGACCACGCCACACAAAATAACAATACATTACGATGAAATTGGAACAACCCCTTTTTGTATGCTAATGACGTAACCAGCTGATGACGGAGACAATCAATCAGTATGTCCACACTCAAATGGGCCCTCATGAAGAGGGGCGAGGAAACATGGAGCATCCCGTCTTCCTAAGACTCCAATTCTAGATTCAAGTAATTCAAGTATGCTAATGACGACCAATTAATCGGAAACATTCAATATTTTGGCGAATCACTCATTTTTATTCAAAGCACAAAGTTTGGAGTGTTGGATGGACACGTGACTATGATTCTACATAACAAATGCCACGACGCGAACCCATTTATCTTCAATAAGAGTCGATATATATATTTACATGGGATTTAAGGAGGTGGGGGGGGGGTCATCTAGTTTCAGAGTTTAAATCATTCTGAAAATGGCTACCAAAGTTTGATGGCTTCCAAAGCTTGAGAGTTCTTGGAAATTAAAAATTTACGTTTTGTGAACTTTTAATTAACAATTTTCAGTAAATTCCACAGTGCATCAATGTCTTTTAAAATGGACATAACAGGTGTTGAGCCAAAAAAATAAAAATTTGATAAAAAATTTCCAAACGGGGAGAAAAATGCTGTTTTCTTCGATTTCATTATATTGACGAGCACTTGATTTCACCACGATGCCTCACATTTAACCCTACCCGTACGCCCTGGGATCATTTTGTACCCCCGGGGTTGTATTCTTCACATTTTAGAATACTTCTGGTGCGAAAATCTCTTTGAAACTTCCAGTATTTCTCAAAAATTCATTTCGACAGACTGCTACGCAAAGCGTACGGATTGGATTAACGAGTAAATTTAATCTTTGCAAAGTGGTGGCACAGAGTTCCCCACGTCGTATGGATACGATAGTAAAACACGACGTACGGATAGGGTTAAGTTGTGGCCCAGAGTTCCCCACATCGTATGGATACGATAGTAAAACACGACGTACGGATAGTGGTGGCACAGAGTACCCCACATCGTATGGATACGATAGTAAAACACGACGTACGGATAGTGTTGGCACAGAGTACCCCACGTCGTATGTATACGATAGTAAAACACGACGTACGGATAGTGGTGGCACAGAGTACCCCACATCGTATGGATACGATAGTAAAACACGACGTACGGATAGTGGTGGCACAGAGTACCCCACGTCGTATGGATACGATTGTAAAACACGACGTACGGATAGTGGTGGCACAGAGTTCCCCACGTCGTATGGATACGATTGTAAAACACGACGTACGGATAGTGGTGGCACAGAGTTCCCCACGTCGTATGGATACGATTGTAAAACACACGTACGGGTAGGGTTAACAAAAGGGACACACCGGTGTCTGAGGTCTAGCGGCTAGGCGCGGTGTTGACGAACACATCAGAAGATGGTTTTTACCGAGTATCTCCGTCTGTTTCTTGACTGAGATACTGTATCACTTTTACCCCGGTTCGGCCCTGATGGACAGAGTCAGAAATACGTCTCTTAAATTATCTAAATTTTAATTATGTCGATGGGAGCGTAAAAATACCTTCTTTTAAAAAAAGAGGACGCCCACAAGGGCAAAGAGGAGGCCACAGGATAAAACAATCTCGGCACACCCGACCCTTCACCATTTTATTATGTCCTCGGACAATTTTTAAAATTGTTATCTGAGATATAGTTGACATTATCAAAGGGTGGCCTCATTATTAGCCTTGAGGCAAGGAATGTTGAACTTGTTGATTAATTATTTATTTATCTTTTTTTTTTTTTACTATCATCGGGAGATCGATCATAATAACAGACCAACAACGCTGTCTTTTGGAAGTTAGGTTCAGAACTTCGAACTTCGTGTACTGATTCTTCTCATATCATTACGCGTATAAACAAGCAATAGAAAAATAACTCCACATTCGAAGTATTGTTAAATTTGTGTCTTGGTTTGAAATATTGGGAGACAGAGACAAGTTGTATCGTTAGCGGGAGACAGAGACAAGGTGTATCGTTAGCGGGAGACAGAGACAAGGTGTATCGTTAGCGGGAGACAGAGACAAGGTGTATTGTTAGCAGGAGACAAAGACAAGGTGTATCGTGTTAGCCAACGGCTGCTCTGTCTTCACGTCAGACGATGAAGAAGTTGTGGCTTCCACTTCTGTTTGCCGTCTGGCTGTCAGCTGTGGGCGGAAGTGGAAGTAAGAACAAGAGGCCGAACATTGTCTTTGTTCTGGCAGACGACTACGGCTTCAACGACATCGGTTACCATGGGGAACAGATTTTCACTCCTGTTTTGGATAAGGTAAGACTGTTTAGTTTCTGGGGATAATGATAACGGCAGTTTCAACTTTTTTTTTCGGGGTAGATCTAAGTGTTTTACGGCACACTTAACTTTTTCAGTCGGAAAAAAATTTTGAATTTTGCCCGGGTGGCGGCCGCAGCCTACTCGTATCGATTTTAGACCACCAAGGCATCTTTAACGTGCGCAACTTGCACACGGCCCCTTCGAGATTTTTCGCTCCTTTCCGAGATGGCTAGGTGTAGATCTTTCCTACCTCAAGATCAGGTGTGTGGCTGAAAAACAGCAGTAAGAAGGAGCCAAGGAGTAGCAGTAGAAAGGCTTCAGAAAGAGTCAGGAGCCCAGAGGAGGAAGCAAAGGAGGTGAGGGGTGGGGGGGCAGAATCAGGAGACGAAAGCAGACGACAGAGCATTGCTAGAGAACAGGAAAGGAGGTGAAAGGAGACAATTAGACCTT